CTGCGCGGCAGCTCGATCGCCCGGATGCCGTCGCTCCTTGGCCCGTCCTTTCCCAGCAGTCCCCGCGGCGGTAACGGAGCCCGTCCCAGCTCGGTCACCTTCGCTGGCAACCCGCGCTCTGGGCCTAAACGGTGGGTTTTGGCCCAAATCATCCCTGCCGGTTTGTGGGGGGGGGCGCGCGGGGGGGGGGGGGGGGGGGCGTGCTGTGGTTCAGCTTGGGAAAAGGAGGTGGGGGATGGGGAGTGCGCGGCCAGCGGCGCTCACGCTCTGCCGTTCTCCACCTCCCCTCCCCCCTTCCCTGCGGAAGGAGCTGTGTGGGTCAGGCCCCGGGCGGGCGGCAGGTTCCCTGGGCTGCGGTGGGGTCATGGCGGGGGGGGCAGTGGGAAAGCAAATTCTGCGTTGTTTCGGGTAGATTTCAGAAAAAAAGGCCTGAACAACGTGGCGCTCACCAAGGCCTTGGGGAAAGGTCTCTGCCGCGTTTTAACAGGGTGTGAGTTGGAAGTAGCGTCTCTTACGGTCTGTGTTTTATAGTGGTGAGAAAAATCCCTCCTTTTTATTCAGTCTCCTTATTTGTTATTATGTCTTGTTGTTCTGGTATAGCAGAATTACGGCTGTTATGACACTATTCATCTGAAATGGCAGAAACTTTGGGAAAGGTGCAGCGTTTTTAACAGTGTTGGTGTATGCATAACACTTTCAGGAAATCTATCCACAGTAATAAATTTGATTGAAGTGTCTATCTAAAAACAAGTAAATGTGAGCGTGGCTTTGTCTGCAGTTACACATTAATGACCACAAAGATGTTTTCATTCTTCAAGAAGCACCTAGATTTTTCAGTTGTTTTGACATTGGTTACCCTTGCATCCTTTTCTCTTTGATGCTTTACATTTAGTAATGAACAAATAAGTAAGCATTACTTCATAGATGTTTAAGTCTGCTTTTCTTTCCTGGAACTCTGGTTTATCATATAATGTTTTTATGTGCATATAGTGGATTTATTGCATTGTAATAAGTGTCAATAGTGACTTTTGGGATGAAGTGCTGTGTGTACGACAGAACATGCAGTATTTCAGTGCAGAGTGGTGCAAATGTGTACTGTCATGTTGTTAGGGTAAGCTTTATTTCAAAACATCTTACAATTTTCTGTTTGTCTAACAAAGCTGCATAGAAAGGAAAGAAATATCAATAGGCTTCTTGTTCCCGGGGCGTATTGTCTAGGTAAAATACTCATGATAAATCATGAATTCAGTAGCTTAATATAATTTATTTTGCTAATTTGAGTAGAAATTACTATGTTGGGAGACACAGCTGTGGGATAGGGAGGGAAACTAACTTAGCAGCGCAAGGAAGGAGCCTCTAGCTTGTCTGGAACAAGGCTTTCCTCCTGAGATAATCTGGAAACATTAGAAAAAGCTGTTACTGATAGGCAAAGAGGAGCCTAGGTATTGCTGCTGTGTAAATGCTCTTGAGTCACCTTTGAACACTTTCATCAGCTGTAATTTCGCACTTTTTATTGTCTTAGCCCATAAATTGTAATCTAACTCTGAATTTTCTTTGCTTTGTAATAAATACTTGTGCATGTTTGGGGCTTATTTTATTTTTACCTGTAAACTGCTGCTGATATATATCAGGAGTGTGTATATACATCAATATATAGATGTGTATATATAGTATAAATATAGCAGGTGAGAATAGTTGCAATACTCACCATGGCAAAACTTCTTGTAACTTTCAGATGATGCAGAGCATGCTCCCAAAGTCATGGAGAGCCATGAAGTTGTACTACACCACTGTGTATCAAGAAATATGGGTTGGTGTAGCAATAACAGCTTATGTCTATTACAAAATTTCATACGGTGGTAAGTTATACCTTACAGTCTTCATTATCTGTTACTTTATAGATAAGGTTTGTAGATGAGAATATCCTTAACAGTTAGAAATAAGTTATTGAAAATATCCAGCAAATAAATTAACACTCTTAACTTAAGGCCAGGTGTTTGCCATAAAAATGTAGAAGTTTTGACACATTCAGTGTAGAAGGTTGCACTGACAAAAATACTCAAACACCAGTGTAACTGTGCCTACATTATGAAGATTGAGTAATGTAGGAATTGGTTTTGAAAACACACATCTAACTTGCAACCTGGAGCAAGAGACTTCTCCTGTAGCTTTGTCCTGAAGGGGATAAAGATATACCTATGTTTTTGAGGTTTTGCTCAAGCTCTGCAAAAAAAAAAGTTTTTAAAAGGTTTTCCCATGTGAACTTGTGAAAGTTAAAGCGCTTGGTACCTCAAAATGTGAGGTACATCACTGAACATTACGATGTGTGTTACTTGGTGATAAGGGATCACTTTCTTAGAGGAAGAAACAACATCTAATGTAAAATTAATACATTAGAGAGGGCCAGGTCCCTCAGAGCAGAAGGGTACAACCAATTATGGTGTCATAGGGGTCCTCTTCTTCTATTTGGGCTATACTGAAAAAATTCCAAGTTAACCCTTTATTAGTGAACAATGAACTGTTACAGAACTGTAGACAAACTTGACGGGGCAAGGAACCCCTCGCTGTGGGAACAGCTGAGTGATGTTACCTCAACATTTCTCTAGCTTTGTCCAAATAACCTGTAGCATGTGCAGAACTGTTAACGCTACATTTACAAGTTTAAGTAAATATAAGTAGTTGAACAGATGGAGAGTGGGGGAAAAAAAGTTGAACTTTACCTTCTTTAATTTCAAGGAGAATTCAAAATTGACAGACTGATTCAAGTTTGTATTCATGTCATGCTACTTTTATTTTCATTTATGATTTAGATAATAGATGTGGTACTGTAGGGTCTTGGGGGCCAAAACCTTGATATGGGGCAAGTGTACACTGAGCATCATTTTAAGGTGAAAATACCTTTTAATACCTGGAGCACTTTCCGCATTTTGGGGAACAGTTTTGCAAAGAATACATGTATCTATAGATGAGTATGGTGTAGAATAACCTGGATTGGAAGGGACCTTCTGAGCTCAGCTGCCCCAAACTGCTGCTTGGAGTAGTTAGATCAAAGTCAGATCAGGTTGCTCATGGCCTTATTCATAATTCAAATTAATATTTCCAGAGGTGGAGATTGCACCACCTCTTATGAAGAATTTTTTCCACCTATTTTTGTCTGATCACTGTGAATCAGTATTCTAGGAGAACAATTACAATGGGAATGTAAAATAAGCTATTTTATTTAGAAAGGAAGATGTTAAAGCAAACTGTATTCTTAGCACTTCAGTTTACATCCGTATGTTGTGTGTGTGTGTACATCCGTATATTATGTAAAATAGCACCATTCTGTAAATGTTTCTTTTGAATTAGAGTAGGAGTCTCAATGGCTGCAATTTTTAAATGGAGTCTTAATTAATTAAAAACAAGCAACTTCCAAAAAAAAAGTCAGTACACATTTACTGATATGTACCATGGAAAGTACGTTGGATGTTTTTTGAACCTTGTTCAAGCTAAATTAGCAAATCATAAGTAGTATAATGTAATTGAAGTTTATCTGAAAAAAAAAATACGTAGGAAATATTTTTTTTAAACTGTCATCGTTCAGCCTTTTTCTTTTTTTTTCAGGCAAGAAAGCGGTAGCAGACAGTAAGTATTAAATATTTTAAAAATACAACAGGGTATAAGATGAATGCAGTAAAAATTAGCTCAGCATATTTTATGTAAGTTTTGGGTTTAAGTTACAGATTAGAAAACATTAAAAGACTACTTCAAAATATGTAGTTTTGGTTATATTGATGGTTTTATAGCCTAGAAACATCTGTGAATCTGCAGATGCTCTGTCTTAAACAGACCTTTGCAGAGGTTTTAGGAGGAGAATGGAAGTCATATGCCTTGATTGGAGGGGGCAGAGTAATGTAGTGGAATTACTTACATCAGCATGATCTCAAAAGTAGCTGCTATTTTAGCTGTCAAGAAACTAAGAAGTTTAAACTTGTATTTTTAATTTGTATTCTTTTATGTTCTATAAAGTAGTGTTTAGCTATGCATGGACAGTTTCTTCTGACATCACACTGGAATTTAACTTCTCATGAGTGCTGTATCAGTTAACTTTCTGCACCACAGTAGCGAGTCCATTTGCTCCCAGTTGAATTTGTATACGCAAATATTTTTACATTTTTAAATTAATTGTAATTAGTGAAAGTACTGCCCAGCAGACTTAAGGATAATAGCATAAATAAACTTTAATTTAGCAGGGACCATATCAAAATTGAAGAAGCATGGGTGTTTGCCTGTAATAGTACTTTAAAACCTGCAAAAGAGGATTTTTAGTATTGTCCAAGTTTATGTACATAGTTTGAGGGTTTGGTTTTATTTGACAGGGCAGTTGAATCTGCCAATTCTTGTGCTCAGATGTAGATAGAGTTGTCTGGTTTAGGTTCTGAACTGTGTTCCTGAACTGATCTGCTTTGCTGTTTGAACAGTCTAAATTGTGTCTTTGTTTCAGAGTCCTCTGATGCTGGCCATCATTAAAGACCTCTTCTCTTCTGGAGTATAAAGTTGGTGTTTCATCGTGAAGCAAGTTACAACCATAGGGAAGTTAATTCTAAATCTGTACCTGATCCGTCTGTTGTAACTAGAGAAAGAATAAATCCATTTAACAAGGAATTAAACATGTTGGACAAAATATGCGGGAGTGTAACCTAATTTTTAGAATCAGCATTTTTTTGTTTCTACAATTCTTCCAAGTTCCATGTTAAACTTTAAATAGTACTTTGAAAAAGACCAAATTTCTGTAACTAAACTTAATAGAATTAGCCAACACTTCTTGCAGCACTAAGCCTCTTTTTTTTTTTTCCCAAATTATATCTTTTCTTGACAGAGCTTTTGAAATACTCCATTTACTTTTAAAATGTCATTTTTAAGTATGCTAAGCATGAGGACTTCATTCTCAACTTTTTGTCAACTTGTGGTGCAACAGCTAAGGGTACAAAGAGTTCTTTTTAAAACCTTATCTTTTTTTTAAAGAGTTCTGAGTTCTTGCAAGGTTTCAAAGCAAAAGCTGTGTTGTTATTAAAACACCATGCAAAATGTTACAGAGGTTTTTAAAAAGTACACTTGGCAACTGGGTTTTTTTGTCCTTCATATTTAGTAGGGCTAAGGAGTTGCTCTGTAAGTCTCTGCCTGTGATCACAAATTCTGTAAAGGAGTAAGTAGGTAATAGCATGCCCATGTTGTAGGAGAAATTTGACACTACGCGGGCCCTCATCTGCAATTTGAGATTATGAATATCTCAGAATGAAATCACACGCTATTGCAGCAGTTACAAACATTCAACTGACTTCAAAGAGTTTTCCTTTTTCCTGAAAATTTAGAAGCAATACATGTACTACTAGGATGGGTCATTAGTGGTTTTTGCAGATAGCTGTTACAGTAACTCCATAGCTAGTAGTATGTTTTGGAGACTCCAGGAACCTCTACTATCCTCTGAAAATCTGTTTTCAGAACTGTACATACTGCATTCTGTACCAAGGGTACATAGTGTACAAAATCAAAATTGGACTTAGTGTCTTGTTTAAGTTCAGCATAATCTGCTTTTGAGAAGATTAGGAGGCTTAAGTAATTTTAATGACTTGATGCTTACGTATATCTTTTTAACTACTTTATTGAAACATCTTAAATCTTTCAGCTTGACTGAAATTTTGCTTTTCAATATCTGACTGCAACAATTGTCCGTAACAAATGTTTTGTATTTGAATACTCGGGAGGATGATAAACTTTTCTGTTGATGGTAAACATTCCAAACACTACTGACTTTAATTTCTTCAAAATTTATACTTCTGTTTAAGCTTAATAGCTATACCTGCTGTGAGGAGAGTAGAATTACCAGTCACTTACCTGAAAGCTTTTTCGAAAAAAGGTAGGTATAGCATTACTGAATTTGAAAAGAATAGGCCACATCTCGTTCTCACGTATTCATGACCTTATTTCTCCTACTATCCACAGTTTTCCTTATTGTTGCATCTTCCCTTGATAGGTTTTAGCTGATTTTTTCACTTTCAAAGTTTTATATGTTTTTTTCAGTGTTCCTTCACCACAGAATATTGAATGAGCAGTAGGAAACCCACACCATTTGTTTCTGTACATAAAAGCAGAAGCATCCAGAAGAAGGGAACCGAGAATAAAAACTTGAAGGAAATAGAGCTTCAGGTGAACAGATATTAGGCCAGTGGTGATTACAGGATGGGTCAGAATTGTGGTATAGTTAATAAGTGGTTCAGATTGAAAATTTATGCCAGGTAAGGAGCTATATGTGAATTTGTAATGCAAATTTATGATCACTAGCTTATAGTTCCTAAGATAACTACACATACTTCAAATGACCTGCTTTAGCAGTTTTCAATTACAGAGCTGAGGAAAACAAGCTAGGGAAAAAACATGAGTCACTGCAGGATTTGTTTCACCTTAGGTACAACCTAGCACACTGGAACTGAGCTACATCAGCATACTGTCTGATCTCCTAGATGTTCATTGAAAAGCAAGGGAAACTTCTGCTAACCTGCCCCTGGAGCACACTTAACTGCACTTCTAGGTAAACTTAACCTACTTCAGCTTAATGTTTCTGACTTCTTGTACGTATGGGCAGCAATGTCTGGGTTATGGAAACTACAATGTCTACTGAAAAAATGCTATCTGCAGCTGGTTCTTCCACTGCCGCAACTCTACTAGAAACTTATATGAAGATTGCAGAATATTTCCTTCCTGTTTGCGATTGTTAATGCACAAATCTCTGCAAAAGATAAGGGTAAAGTAAAACTGGTGTTTAAATAGATTTGGTTTTTAACTTGAGGAGGAAATCAGCTTTGTTAGTGGCTTGACTCAAAAGCAAAAATCCACACACCCATTATGTGTAATGCCTCTTGTACCATCTATGTACTTTTTGTTCCTCTATGCCGACACATACCAGGTAGTAGAAAGACAATAGAGGAAAGGTAGTGAAGGCATTATAGGTGCCCGTTCTTACCTACAGTGAGGTGTGGAAGGAGTAATCTGTTTTCTTGCAGAGCTAACATCTGGAGTGTAGCCCTAGGTGGAGAAGCATTGCAAAGCAGTACCCTCGAAATGAATTCTCATTTTAGAGTATGTGCCTTTTTTCTAATTTAGCTGAGGTGATATGTAAAACTAACATACCTGAACAAGAAAAACTTTATTGTGTCTCTATAGACAAACCTCAGATCCTGAGCAAACCTGTTTTCTATGAAAGTGACTATTTAAGATCAGGACTTTAATCAATGGAGGCAATATTCATCGTGATTCACAATTAAACACTAGTGGGGGTAATGCTTACAGCTCATCGACAGATCATGCTGTTTCCATGTAACTGCTGCCTCTTTGTATTGCTGACATTTCTAAAATGAGAAGATTACATTTAAACTTTGTGTAGTAAAAGAGTTCAGCAAGTGCATCTTTCATTTGTTGCCTGTGACAAGGCATCAGCAACGACGAACTGTTTTCTGCCTTTGCAGTGTCAGTGGAACTACAACCTCTTGTAGGGGTTAAAAAGCCTGATCAGATTACTGCAGCACCATCTTGACCAAGTTTTGCTGTGGTGCTGGTAATTTTTTTTATCCGTACAGAGCATGAAAGCTTAGCAGTGGGAAGCTGTATTAGTGATGACCATGCTAATGCAAGGTGTGGTCTTTCTGCTGTACAGCTACTTCTGTATTTGCCCCTCCATGCTGCATCTTACTGATGGCCACAATTTCTAATTTCTGGAATGTCTTCAAGTGTTGTCCTACAGTGAGGAATCTCAGCGTATCCTCCGCATGCTAATAAGGTGTTACGGAATACTCTAGGGGAGCAGCAAAATACAGTCAGAGCCAAGGAAACATTAGTCACAGGGCCCAACCTACTTAACCTCTTTAATAGCTAACTTGAAAAAACCCCAAATGTGTGTTCATGTTAATTGGCAGGATGACTAAAGTTGCAGGAAATGATCTGAAGGAACTAAAACAGCTGAACCAGTCTCCTATTTATCTGAATCATGATAGCAAACCTCTGTAGTACAAATACAGCCTGATAGGGAGCTGGTACGTACACGCGTATTGTACTTTCAGTCCCCAAGGAAGGAAAACTATCAGGTGCTTGTTAGACACAGGTGATTATCTGTGACATCATCACCAGATGGCTGAAATGAAACTGAGGAAATCAACGTGTGAAATCTCTATTGTTTCATTCATGGAAATTTGTAAGGCTACTAGGAAAGAAAGAATAGTAAAATGGAGATTCCCTGAGGCATTAAATGTGTTGGTTAACAATCGGTAAGCGGAGGAACAAGAAACGACAAGATGGTGCTTGAACAGCAAGCTCCTCATGCTGTAATTCCATAACCTTCAGCAACTAACATTTAGCAGTTAATACTCTCTTTACTTGAACATATAGAACCGTGTGACTGATGGGGTATTTTATGAAGAACTCATAAACAAATTCCTGTATTCTACTCCACTGCTGCAAGCAGACTACTTGAAAGCAGTTACTCTCCCCTAACTCACAGTGAACTGACCACCACAGGAGTGGATTATTTGGAAGTTTAAATTCTGCTAAGGGTACTCTGCTTTCTTGGCCTGTGGTTTAGCAGTATGAATACTCTGGCAGCTACACCAGCTTGTGGAGTTTCTACCTTATACCTTATATGAGTGACTTGCTCCTCAGTTGTGCTGATACAACTATCTGTGAATCAGAAAGGCATTCTTCATAATTTTAGAGGGTTTTTCTCTCTAAAATAACAAAATGAACACTCAGGGTTTTTTCTGCATTTTAGTTAGGATCCATTTCCTGATCCTTTGCTCCTTAAAGCAAAGCTGCCTTATAACTTGCAGTGCAGCACAACAGCTTTTCTTAGAAAAGGGGCAGAAGAATTGGAGTTTCTAGCTTCTCATTCACCCAGCTATCCTAAGTCATGTGTCCCTCACGATGACTTAATGCAGGTTTCCTCCTCATACCCAGCTACACACATGATCACAGAATGGTCTCTCCCCTAAGGACTGTCATCACGGTCAACACAGGAATAAAAACAATTCAGAACTCCACCCTGTATACAAATCAGTAATGTCAGCTTGTGCTTCCTTCCTCTGTGACAGCATATGGCTTTCTCAAGTTTATAGTATCACTTACTTATACAAAACAAGCAGGGAACAGGGAGAACTGTACCACAATATCCTAATGCTTACGAATACTTTTGGTAATAAAGGATATATTTGGAAGTGGTTCTTCAAATCAAATTACATGATTGGCTGTCATCAAATGAAAATACTTTCAATTAAGTCCTAAAAGAACTTTTTTTTTAACTGATATGACCTTTAACTATTTTATATCCATATTGTCAGAGTAACTTCAGCCATCTGCTGGAACATGAATTTCTTCAGAGCTAATGAAGTGTGTTTGCTGGGAAATAGGGATTCTGTGGGTGGCAGAGCTAACAGCAACATGCTGAATGAATCCCATCTGTGATGACTACTTCTGCCTACACAGAT